TCTTTGGCTTGTAAACACGTTGGATCCTGAAAAGAAAAATAACATAGAGAAATTGGGGGACCTGGGATTCGAGCTCAGGTCCTGAAGCATTTTCCAACACTACGCTTACCAATTGTGCCCCTTGTTCTTTCTGTACATAAAATAAGTAATAATAATAATATGGAAAACAGAGTGGGTTAGTGGAGATCAAAGAAAATGCACGCCAGATTCAAATATGCCAATGGAAAGGTGACACGCAGGCGTCTTTAACCTTGCGCCGTTGGTAAAAGTGAAACACTTTTACCTACGGATGTTAGTCCGTCACTACAAACAAAGCTCGTTCCAAAATCCTCCATGAGCAATATAAATGACATCTAATGCCATGGTTGGATTCGTCTTGTCCTCCTGAACATGATGGTACCATTTATGAAGGCTAATTTTACCTGCAAGCAAAAACCCTAAAACGGAATCCAAAAACCTAACAATGGCAGTTCACGATTCAGTCTATGAAAATGCAATTGGGTATTATAGAAAGCTTGCAATTGTCATGGTGAACAAGAATCTATGATTATATTATGTTGAATGTGCAAGAATTATGCAAACAGAATTCAAGAAAAGGTGGGTGTCGTGAATGCCTTACAGTGCGTTATAGGGCCTGGAAATGCTTGATTTCGATTGCTTTCGCTTGCAAATCTCAGGAAGTGATTGAGATAGCTAGAATGCCTTGAGGATGCCTGGAACAATGAATTTGATCCAGCACTTTTGTTGTGATTTTTCAAGTTTGGTTCTCCTTATTGTGCCTCCTCTTCTAGCCTCTTTTGGTCTGCCTCGCTTCTATATGTATCAAGGAATGGATTAGGGTTGATAGAATGTACTCAATCTTCTTCCATTATTGAATTTAATTGTGATTTGATTCTCTTGAATATCATTCCAAAATTGGCCTAAAATCAATCTTTTTGTCCACCCCAATGCCTTGCACGAGTTTGATTTGATGCTAGCTGTAACTAAAATTTGAAACAAGCACAAAATCTTTTGTTTTCAATATTTTGGATTTTCTATAATTTGTTTTGATTTAAAATGATTTAACTCAAATAAAAATCAAAATAAATAATAAAAATAAGTTAATGACAAGTGGAAAAGACTAGGGCTCGTGGACCATGTTTCCAACTCAAAACAAGTGAAAAAGACTGGGCCCATTTGGCAAAATTTGAAGTTTTAGGCATAGTTGATTTTTGGCAATTTTGCAAAAAAGGTAAACTTCACCAATGCATAACTTCCTCAATTTTGATTCTTTGTAGGTGTTCTTGGACTTTTTAGAAAGCTTGAGATGTCCTCTAATCAACCCTTTTGGTATCATATCAATTTGATATTCCATGCTCATGTATTAAGCTTTGACAAAAAAGGTGTTTTTGTTGACTTTTCAAAATGACCTATAATGTCCAAATTCATAACTTCTTGTGAGTGTATATTTTGAACTTGGGAGATGAAGATGGATTGTAGAGAATTGCATCTTCTTTAAAATGATATTTCTATGGGTCATTTCTCATAAATTATGAGAAAGTTATGCTTGGTCAAAGTTGAGTTGACTTTTCCTACAAAACCCTAATTTAGCAACTTTTGGTTTTTGATGAATTATGAGCAATCCTTGATGAATCATGATCAACCCTTGATCAAATGATTAAATATACTTAAAAATGAGGATGTTGACCAAAAATCTTGAAGTTTGATTGTATGTGAGCCACAGTTGACTTTTGCCCTAGCACAGTCGATTTTCAGGCCTTTGAGTAATTGACTGAGCAAACTTCATCTGCAAGGCTTGAAACTTGACATGGATGATCTTGAGAACATATTAGGACATTGGTGAGTATTTGGGATCACTTGGAATCAAGTATCTTGATGCAACATGAAACCCTAATTTGAGGTAGACTGCCTTAGGAGAGAGCTTGTCTGGCCAACCCTTGGACTACCTTGAGCAACTTGGGATCTTTCTTGAAATTTTTTGAGAAATATGGGAGGAAAAATTTTGGGGTACAACACAAACTTGCCAACTTTGGCAAATATGGCTAATTCAAGTGCATGCGCATTGTGTTTTATTTTGCCATAAAAGGTAAGGAAATAAGTTGTATTGTGCGTGCATGAGCGAGGAAAATTGTTGCAACAAATTTTGAGTGTTGTGCACAAACTCATGAATTTTCTATAAACTGGTTGCAAGCATAGTGCTTTGGATCAGCCTTGTCCTAACCTCAATAACTCTCCATTCTTGATCAAATGAAACAAAATTTATCTCTTTGGAAAGCTGTCATGGTAAGGAACAAACTTGATGTTGGAAGGTGTTTGAAATGAGGCTTCGACATCAGGTGAAATGGAGCACGAAAATGGTACAAAAATATGATCACCAACACTTAGAGAAATTCTCTAAGTGTTAGAAATTTTCCACTTGAAACACCAACTTCCATCAATTATAACTTGTTCAATAATGATTCAAACTTGATGAAATTGGTATGGTTGTAATAATTGAGAAAAATGAACATTTTGGGTGTTGAGGTTGTTTTGATTTGAAGCTTTGATCATAGTGAAAATTGGCCATAAAAAGAGGTAAACAAAGCTAAACCAAATTGAAAACTTGCCAAAAGAGTAACCTTTCAAAACCCTAATTTTCCAAATTGGGTAAGTTTCCACAATTCTTCATTTTTGATGATTCTCTTGATTTTTCTTGATCAAATCTCAACCATTGGTCATGTTTGGTCTGTAGAATATAATTTTGACCATATAAAGTTAGGAGTTGACTTTTAGACTGCGCATTTGACTTTTCCCCAATTTAGTCAATTCATTAATCATGTGATCATTTGAACTTCTTCTGCTTAAAGTTGATGATTAATCTTCCACAGAGAGACACTTAGGGGAATAGAAGACCATGGAATCAATCTTTTCTCAAAGAATCAAAAATATGCTAATTTAATCACAAACCCTAATTTCCAGTCAAAAGATAGGAGATGATGCACAATGCTAAAAACCCTAATTTCTCTGGGGAATTTGGAGAATCTCTTGAACAAAGATGCCTTGTGTATTAAGATGATGATTATGCTTCAAAAATCTTGCCCATGAATGTGTCATACACTCACACAATCAAAACCCTACTCTCAAGGATCAAAAGATAAGAGAATTATGAACACTATCCAAACTCTTGCAAACTTCAATCATCTAATGAAGTGATGGACATGTTGAGATGTTTTGAGGCATAAGAAGCCCTTGTAGTTTGAGTGAACATGAAACTAAGGATATCCAATCCTACTTGCATTGATTGTTAAATCTCTCTCTTTTATTTCTTGAAGAAAACCAAAAGAACAAGAACACCTTGATCCCATCTCAATGCATGAATGTGTAAGCTAAAGAAACATAAGCCAACTAAGGTTGAAAAGAAGAGGGTAAATTTTTGGGTGAAACAGTTGCCCCTATTCAATCATCCTAAACCTGAAAGTGAGAAATAACGATGGCTTTCGAACATTCAAGGTGGAAGAGGATTGAATACCAACAGAACCCAAAAATTTGCGCTCTGGAAAAGAAAAGGTGTAGCAACACTCATAAATGTATTTTTGTAAGTTTTTTTCCTAAAATTTTACAGTATTAAACAAACTGGGTTGAATTAATAGGTGTAAGGAGTAAAGACAGTGAGGAATAGTAAACACCAAACCTTAATCAAAGACATCACTGACTACCAATCAAGAGGGCTATGCCAGTGAACACTGGAAACAACCATAGAGAAATAGCAACGAATTTCGAACATTCAAGGTGGAAAATGATTGAATACCAACATAACCCAAAAATTTGCGCTCTGGAAAAGTAAAAAGTGTAACAACACTCATAACTGTATTTTTGTAAGTTTTTTTCCTGAAATTTTACAGTATTAAACTGTAGCGACTGGTTTTTAAATCGAGAGTCGCCACTATTAGTTTTTATCCTAGGGAAGGGAATCTAACAGAAAACCCTAATTCGCAGACAGGGATTCTAGGTTTCAGACTCAATTAGATGAAAGGAAGGTGTTAGCATCTTTCATCTACCTTGTTCACAAGGATATTAGGTTCTAAGTTTAGGTTTGGGGTAAACAGGATTTTAAGTTTTAATTAGAAAGAGTTTAATTTTTTTATAAGGGAAACTCGCTACGATTTTTGATCGTATGCCTACGTATCCTCTTATGAGGAATCAGAGTCTCAATTCGTAGTTCGAATGGTAGGTTGGTATCTTTTGCAAGATCACGTAGAATTGCCTTTGAATTAACCTTGAACTTTGTTTGGGTTGTAAATTAAGTGATCGTAGACGTGGTTCATAGTTTGGTTCGAAAGTAATGCTATGTAATCTTTTTCGAAAACATCTTGTTTTTTATTATGTTAGTAGAAAAAATAGTTTGTAATTGATTAACTGTTTTGGTATTTGATTTGATTAAGACGTGCAACTGGGGAGTCTGATATAGTCTCCTCCCCACATGGCCAGATATTGGCCATGTGTTGCTCGATGTGAAGGACGCGAGGGAAGTCTGATATAGTCTCCTCCTCGCGTGGCCAGATATTGTCCACATGTTGCTCGTCATGAAGGAGGCGGAGGAAGTCTGAAATAGTCTTTCTCACAACGTGGTCAAATTTTGGCCACGTGTCGCTTGTGGATGAAATATTTGGAGTTGCATGGGTTTTAATATTCCGATTTTGAATAATAAATCGGTAGACGATGTGTCGACCTATTTAATTACTCGGAGATAGACATCTCATTATTTATAGAATATTCAAATTAATAAAAATAACTAAACTGCTTAATCTAAATTAATTAAATTAATTGAAACTAATTTTGACTAACCAAAATTAATTAACCTAAACCATAAAACTAGTATAGTTGGGTTGTAGATGCATATTGAAATGGAAGTGAGAGAATAGTAAAAGTGTAAACTCAAAATTGACCAAAGGGCTCAAAAGCCCAATTGAAAATTAACCATAATACCAATTATTTAAATTAAAATTACAACAAGAAATAAAATGCATCATGCTGATACGGAGAGTGTGATATACCTCACAACTTGTAACAATTGTTTCTTGACTTTTAAACTTGAAACAACCACCAATAAATATATGGCACGTGGATTATTAGAATTATATATAAAAAAAGAAACATATATTACCAAGCACCAGCAGAACGATACACTTTCTTTTCTTCCCTTTCAGAACAAACAAAAGTTTCTCCTCCTCCTTTCTTTAGCATCCCTTTCTTATTCTTCTTCAAATCGAACATCTTCTCCTCCTTATTCCAGTACAGCAAAAAATAGCACAGTGACATGAAATCAAAGCTTACCTTGGTGGGTCATGGTGAAGGGATGGCATGGGTTACGTCGTTGTCGGTACGGAGGCGACACTGAACAAAGATGTTGGCCGACGAGGAGCAAAGCGGGATGCTCGCTGGATCATCTGTGGTGGTAATTGTGAGTCGCTTGCGAGATCGGAGGCTGAAGCGTTGGATCGTGGATTCTGTTGCGGATTGGTGGATCTTGCACAGTGGTTGCTATCAAAGATCTTATCAGCGGTGTGAGTTAGTTGTCGCTGAGATAGAAGACTCGTCGGCATCGGATGATGCTAGACGCGGGTTCATAGAGGTTTCAGTGAGTCATCGAAGTAACTGTAGTCTGTGGCGATGGAGGTTGGTGCGATTGCCAGATGTTGCGGTCCACATCAGAGATTTTAGTTTTTATAGACCCATGGTGGCGAGAGCAAACGGAAGCGTGGTTGGAACTGTTGTCTTTTGTTTCTGCACAAAAAAAACTTGTATGGTGTTTTTAGAGACAAGGTTTATGTTAGTAAAAAATGCAGGTTATGTAAAATTGTTGAGATAATATTGTGTCATATTGTTGTGATGATTTGAATGTAAACATTGTTTGTTTTTTTCTTTGAACACATTTTTCTCACAAATTCATAACTTAGAAAAAGTTTAGTTTATGATAATGACAAAAAGTTTAGAAATTTGTGTATAGCTTTTTCTTAGTAAAATCGGGACCGGGGTGATGTTAGATGTACACATGATGCCAAAAAGTATGTATGTGAATTGGCTAGTTGTAAAAATTGTGCATCAGTTTACAAATTAAAAGATTTTTATATGCAAAAGGTATATTTTGTGTTTGAAAAATATGCATGTACAAGGTGCATCTGCTCTTGAAAATTTGACACCAAAAATAGATTAAATTTATTTCAAGACAAAATATTCATCGTGCAGCTTAAAAACAAACCAATAAGATTATAAGGAATTGAATATAAAAAGGGAGAGACCTCATAAGTCAATCACTGGTCAGAAATAAAATCGTAAATAACACCAGTGGTTTTGAATAGATATTTTAAAAAGAAATTGTAACAATGAAAGTTTGAAAATGTGATGCGCAGTGTAAAAGTGAGTGTGTGAAATTGTTGTGAAATTGTTGATTTGTTGATTGTGAGAAATTGTGGATGAGTTGTGAATATTTTTGGTCGTTTCTGCCTCCAAAATTAGCACAACAATGAATCCTATTTATAGAGTAAAATTAGGTTAAAAACTTGAAGGGAAAGTTAGCCCAAAAAGACCCAAATTAAATTTTATCTATTTATAACTTATTTTGACCATTTTTTTTTAAATAAATAAATATTTTAATAAAAAATTATATTTTTAAAATATAATAAATAAATAAATATGAAAATAATAATTTAATAATAAAAAATATGATTTTTGTGGTTTAGAGAATGAAAATAAAGTTAGTAACAACAAAAATATCCAAAGTGTTGTGACCTTTTGCTAGTCCATCCTTCTCTCTTACCAATTGTACTATGTTACTTATTCGAAAGTAAAAAGCCAATTAGAAGTATATGACTATGAACAATTATTTTCTATTTTTTTACAAAAATGCAAATGATTATTATATTTTCAAACAAACTTGAAAGAAAATTTTTATTAAAAAAACTCAGAATGTTAATATAATTAAATCAAAAGAATTTTATGTAACACCCAAATTCAAAAATAAGTTTGATGGTAGCACTAAGGCGGGTAAATTTGGGGTATGACATAAACAAACTGGGTTGGATTAATAGGTGTAAGGAGTAAATATAGTGAGGAATAGTAAACACTAAACCTTAACCGGAGACATCACTGACTACCAATCAAGAGGGTTATGCTAGTGAACATTGGAAACAAACACAGAGAACTAGTGAACACTAAACTCTACTTAGGACCATCAGAATTGAACGATATTTTGAAGACCTAAAAAACGAGTAACAAACTCGAACCTAGAGACCCAGTAACCACTAGACTTAAAAGATGCCAATGAACATTGGATCTAAAACGGTATACCAGTAAACACTAGTTTCAATAAAAAAGGAACAATAACCATTGACCTAACCAGTAGAGCGTTAGCAGAACATTGGGGATCGAGCAAAGGTAACGAGTAACCACTCGAACTAAAGAGTACTATAAAGAATGTGCCAGGAAAGAACTGGATCACAAGTGAGGCAACGAGTAAATACTAGAGCTAAGAGGAACTAGTAAACACTAGACTCAAGAATACTCAACAAGATACCAATAAATATTGGATCTAATGTAAAGTAACAAGAAAGTAAGCGGACTTCAAGAACACCTGCTGGTCTCGATCGAGGAGAACCAGTAAACATTGAATCTAACCAAGGAATAAAAGAGACAGAGAGACAAGTAAACACTCGCATCAAGAGAACTAGTAACCACTAGACTCTAAAGAAGGATGTGCCAGGGATGAATTGGGTTACAAACAAAGGTAACGAGTAGACACCCGACCTAACAGTACTAGTAAACACTAGACTCAACATGAATACTAGAACATAACTGGATTGAAAAGTTACGCCAATAAATGTTAGAAACAAACCAAGAAGGCCAGTAAACACTAGACCCAAGAAATTTATGCGAGGGAAGAAGTGGATCACAAACAAAGGTAACACGTAAATACTCAACTTAAGAGAAATAAGAAATATGTCAGATAAGGAAGTAAAGAAACAAGTAAAATGTCATCCTAAGAGGACTAGAATCGTCTAGACCTAGGAATGAAGTGTTAGAAAAATGTTGGACTCGAATGGTACATTAATAACCATTAGACACGAACCACGAGGACTTGCACATGGCAAGAAACATCCCTTATGTGAGAAGCAAGAAGGGGACCGACTTACGAGAAGTAAGGGAAGGATTTGGTATTTGCAAGAAAAGAACTACATTATCCCCCAGGCCAAAGGCGGCGTGTAATTCTTCAAGAGTGGCAATTATATAAATTGTCGAACACCAAGTAAGGCTTTTCAAATAATTGAAAAGAAAGAAAGGTTATACACCATGTTTTTCTTGCACTCTAACTTCAAAAGGCAAACACGGGTAACAACCGAGAAAAAAGGACTATCACAAAAGCGGTAGACACTGTGGAAACCTGTCCGGGATATCAGGGGATATCTGTGGGGATTAACAAATCTCTTGGGTACACCAAAAGAAAAGGTTACTGTTAGAACATAGTTTTATTCTACAACCCTCAATTAGAGTTTTGATGATAACAAAATACAAGAATAAATAAGTTGTAAGATTTATATATAAGACATAAATGCTACTTAAAATTATGGTTTGTGTTTACAGAAGTTCTGATGGAATCAGCATCAGAAGATCACGTCAGCATCAGAAGATCAATAACATGTGCTACACGCTGAAGCTACCAGATCATACGCTGAAGCCTGATGACCAGAATCTGCGCATAAAACACTCTGATTCTGATCAAAGATATCTACCAAGTCATCAGCACTCAGAAACGTTAGCATAAAGCAATGAACACTCTGATTACCATAAGCATAGAACACTCTGAAGCGTTACTAAGCATTCAAGACAAATTAATTACCAACGGATTTATTCAAGACAAGATCTTCTCAAAAAGGAAAGAACGTTATTATCACTGAAAGTGTTTTATGGATAACAACGTATCTTTGCCTTGGCTATATATACAAGTCTGTGTGAGAAAAGATGTACGCATATACACGCCTACAAAAACGCACGCACTCATACAATTTGATAAGCTTTCAAACCACGCCTACTCAAAAGCATTAGCAATCCAGTTTTTATTCCAAGCTTAATATTGTGTATTATCACAGTTGTGATATATAGTTTTGTTAGAAAACATTAACACACATTTTGTTCAATTATCTGTAAGAGAATTTCCTTGAGATAAACCGGTATGTGGTTAGACTCAAGAAGGCTTTAATAGTTGTTAAAGTAGACTGTTGTAATCCTATTGAATATAGTGGATTAAGACCTCGTTGGAGAGAGGCGAAATCACCTCGACGGGTGGACTGGAGTAGTTTGAGATCAAACGAACCAGGATTAAAATACAGTGTTGTTTAAGCTTTTGATTTAAGTTTTACAATTCAACCCCCCTTCTTGTGTTTTTCACATCTTCAATTGACATCAGAGCGCCTGGTTCTGAGCTTATAACACTTAACTGTGTCAGTACAAGATCCAGCGTCAGAAAAACACAATGGCAGGACCACATCAAAACATCAGCAATGAAAATAATGAAGAAAGAGACAGATTCAGTGGCAAACCTCCAATCTTTGATGGAGAGAATTTTGACTACTGGAAAGACAGAATTGAAAGTTTCTTTCTGGCCCATGATGCTGATCTGTGGGACATGGTAACTGATGGATACACGCACCCAGTGGATGGAATTGGTCAGAAGATTGACAGGAAAGCAATGTCTGATCAGCAAAAGCGTGATTTCAGAAATCATCACAAGGCCAGAACAATTCTTCTCAGCGCCATCTCTTATTCAGAATATGAAAAGATATCAAACAGAGACACTGCAAAGAATATGTTTGACTCTCTGAGAATGACGCATGAAGGCAACATTCAAGTCAAAGAAACCAAAGCCCTTGCACTCATTCAGAAGTATGAGGCATTCAAGATGGAAGAGAGTAAATCAATAGAGACTATGTTTTCAAGATTTCAAATTCTTGTTGCTGGTCTGAAAGTTCTTGACAAAGGGTATTCCACTGCTGATCATGTTAAGAAGATCATCAGAAGCTTGCCAAAACAGTGGAGGCCAATGGTCACAGCGCTTAAGCTAGCCAAGGATCTCAACAAAATCTCTCTGGAGGAACTTGTCAGCTCCCTCAGAAGTCACGAGATAGAGCTAGAAGCAGATGAACCTCAAAAGCAAGGTAAGCCATTAGCTTTAAAATCTAACAGAAAATTTGACTCCAAAGTTTTGCAGGCTGTTGAAGAAACCTCTGATGGGTCCTCATCAGAAGAAGATGAACTATCTCTCCTCTCCAGAAGGGTGAACCAATTGTGGAAGCAGAGGCAAAGAAAGTTCAGGAATCCCAGAAGATCAGAAAATCAGAATGAATCTTTCTCCAGATACATAAGGTCAGAATCCTCCTCTGGACACAGAAGATCTGAAGGCTCTTCAGGAAACAGAAAGCCAAACAACAAAGACATCATCTGCTATGAATGTAACGAGCGAGGACACTACAAAAGTGATTGCCCAAAGCTTCATAAGGAAAAGCCCAAAAAGAAGTTTGGCAAGGAAAAGAAGAAAAGTCTCATGGCTACATGGGATGATTCTGACACATCTGAAGCTGACTCAGAATCAGATGATGAAAGAGCAAACATAGCTCTCATGGCTAACATGACAGAAGACAGTGAAGCTTCTGAGTCAGAATCTGAATCAGATACAGAAGAGGTATTCCCTGACTTTACTATAAACTTTACTAAGGCTGAACTAGCTGAAAGCCTTAATGAAATTCTGGAAAGATATCAGCAGATCAGAGTCAAATTCAGAAACCTAAAAAGGGATCTTGCTTCTGACTCTGATAAGAC